TTTTTAAATCATTTTATGAACATTATTTTATTAACGCCATTTTTCTTCTTAATCAACTACTGGTTGTAATTGGTTGCTTTTATACATCCCAATGCAGTATTAGCAAGAATTACTTGCATCTCTTTGATTGGCTGGATGGAGTGGTTCGTTTCCATACAGCTAGCAAGTCGTAAGCGCAAAGATGGAGCCGAGCGAGAAACGCTTTCAAGCGCTTTATCTATCTAGTCTAAAAGTTTCTGTTGAGTGTAACGAATGTCGTTGGGGTGTATTGACAAATTTTGTGTGATGGCTTGACAGCACCGTTCCAAAGGTTATTTAAACATGTGGAGGGGATATTTTTGGTGTTCATACTGATATGCATTCACATCCTTTTCTACATGAGGCCCAAGGTGATTAAACACTTTAGAACAAAAACTGGACCTTCTGAGGTAGTTAGCCTGTTCAGGATTAAATGAAGGCTAAATAAAGTAATAACAATAATTTATGGTAATGTGGGCTTAAAAGAAAGATGCTTTTAAACTCTTTTCTAGGTTCTCACCTGTAACTCTGTCTCGGTCCTCGGCCCCTCCCTCTGCTTCGGTCTCCACGGGGCGCCTGGTTCCTGCCCTGGGACAGAAAGTCTCCAAATGTTGGCGCTCTAGGAGGCCGCTTGCTGTCGTCTGTTGGAGATATTGATGTTAAAGAAAGTTGAACATAATCATGCTTCATTATAGAGATAAAGTTTGCCCAAACCCATGTTAAAAACAAGATAAATTAGAGATGTTAGAGCAATCATAAATTATAAAACAGAGACTTTAAAAGCAGCATGCCGACTCACACTGGGCCAACCTCTACTAAAACAGGAAGCAAAGATGCTCATCTGTATTTAAAGACAAAATTTTTCATTTTTTGAGTCAAAACTGTAAATGATGATCTAAGGGATGAAGAAGGAAGATAAGACTGAACTACATATGAAAGAAATCTTTCTTTGATTTGAAGCTCCATCTTAAATCTTCTTAACATTCTTCTTATTTTGTTCAAACTGCTGAATCATCATCTCTCTAAACAAAAAACTTTTCTCCAGAAGCAGGGCTAATCCATGTGGACAGCTGCAGATTTAGAAAGGGGTTGAAGGTGAGAAGGAACATAATATATGTTGTTTTAAAGCGGGCTTTACTGTGGAGATGCTACTCCAATGCTCATTAAAACTCAGTGGTGTTAAAAATACACACATTTGTTACTTAAGTAGAGTAGAGATACTGCAGTTTAAAAACACTCTGGTAAAAGTTGAAGTATCAACTTGACCTCTTTACTCAAGTAAAAGTAAAAAAGTATGTGCTCCAAAAACTACTTAAGGTATAAAAGTAACCTTAAAAAAAAAAAACAAAAAAAAAAAACAGCCAGATGCCACTATATGGATTGAAAGCTAAATTTTTTGACTATTTCGAAAAATTCTTTGAGATAGGGCCAAGGAATAAGGAATAGAAAGTACAGATACTTGAGTGAAAATGTAATGAGTAGAAGTCAGAAGTAGGAGGAAAAATAAGTAATGGAGTAAAGCATAGATACCTAAAATTGTACTTACAGTAAGTACAGTAACAAAGTATTTGTACTTGTGTCATGATACCTCTATTAATACCTGATGCTTCCTGACTTTTCTCCCAAAGTCTGAACTTACTTTTTACATCAAGAAGGTTTCTGTCTCCTCCCAGACCTGACATAACGGTTTGAAATAATGATTATCTATAATACTTAACAATAATAATTGAAATAATAGAAATTTTTTATGAAAGACTTTTCCAAGTTGAATTAAGCTATTATTTTTTTGTTTTACTAAAAAGTAAAAGCAGAAGTGATTCTGTAGTAGGTAAATGAAAGAAGCTCACCAGAGGGTGTTTCATGGTTTCATGTTCTATGTGAGTTGACTTTAAAGAAAAAGATTTATAAAGCGACCCATCTTTTAAATAGCATTTATAAAGCATTTATGAGACTTTGTATTTCGCTTTGTCTACCACATCTATGTTGTGCGACGGTGGGGGCACTAAAGATGGAGTAAGGCAGCATAAACAATCTGGAATTTTGGTGAAAAAGTTAAGAGATACCATAGATGAGAGGGAGTAAAGAAGAGTGAAAAGGTTGGAAATAAGAAAAGAGGAGATGATGCAATGAGGGGAGAAGGTCAACAGGGATGAGGTCATAAGAGACGAAAGGATCAGGAGGGACAATAATAGAAGGGAGGAAGAGCAGAGCAGCCTAAAGTGAGAATACTCTTCTCATTCCGGAAATTAAAAATTATAATAAAACACAAACCCTCTTTCTTGTTTCTACAAATATAGAACGACTTTGGATTTATTTCCATACATTTCAGCAACCCTTGAGAAGTCAGAGCAGACTTTTCCTGCTTTTCCTTCTATGACTGTTGTGGCATCAGCCATCTTCTATGGAGCTGTCTGTTGTAGCGCTGGCTTATCTGTAGCTGAGAGGAAGCGGCTGGATAAGCTGATCA